ACAAAGTGAATCAGAATCATCATCGTCAGAAGAAAGTGAACCAGAATCATCGTCAGAGGAAAGTGACAATAATAAAAAAATGACGAATATAGATAATCAGAGTGAATCGGAGTCATCATCCGAGTCAAAGGAAAGTGACAATGAATCGACTTCGTCATCCGGAGAAAGTGACAATGATAAAATAAAAAATAAAAAAATAACACGTTTAGGCGAACAAAGTAAATCAGAATATTCATCGTCAGAGGAAAGTGAACCAGAATCATCATCGTCAGAAGAAAGTGGCAGTGATAAAAAAATAAAATTTTTTGAATATAAAATTTTATGTTATGAGAACCATGAGAACCAATTTATGAGAACCAATTTATTAAGTTTGTATGGCCTTATATAAAAATAAAATTAAAAATTGGGTTCCAGAAAGTTCATATACAAGACCCGGGTCTTGTACATTCCACCAAATTTTAAACCTTTTAGTAGACCCGGGGTCTAGTACTCGCCCAGAGCTTATGAGTGCTTACACACCTTATATTTATAATAGGTATTCTGGCTATTTGAAAAAAAACGCATTTAATTAATAATTAATTAATAAAGATTCCGTGGTTCACACCCGGGTCTAATTCATGGTGGGTCTACTATCTTGGGGATCTTGTATATGAACAGTAACAAAATAAAAAAAATTACTAAATGGCAATTAATTTTACAAGAATACCAGTTTGCTGACTTTCCTCAACTATCAATAAATATAAATAATGGATGACAAAATATAAGATCTATTTTCAAAGAATGTCGGTTAACCTTAATTTAATGCAATTAGACATAACCTGATTTTCAAATTTATTTATTAATTTGTTGTTTTTGCTTTACAAACGTCTTGTATATCTTTTAAAACTTTTCTCACGCGATCAAGACCGTCCGAATAATAACCATACATTGCAATTAAGGACGATATTTCTTCTATTTGTGAATCCTGTAAATAATTAGGTAAATTATGTCACTTTCGCTTATTCCGACTTAATTCAATATTCCGAATAGGTCATGAACGTACTATAGTCTTGTCGGCAACTGTGTGACTTCCGAACCATTCCAAGCTCCTCAAATCATGTGGTAACAAAGCGATACTTTGTGCAATTGCCGGGAATAATTCCGAGAAATCTCTGTGATAAAGATACGCTAAGAAATTGGTTTGATTCATGATACATTTTCATTTCCATACGATAAAGAAAGGATAATACTTGTGGTATTCTGGCTCAAGGTCAATATGTTCACCAACAAAAGGGTCTTTAAGTCTCATTAAAAGATTTGACATGATAGATTCCACGTGTTTACTAAAACTGGGGGACGTCTAAAGCGGGGGCAACTCATATTTCTTAATAATTTTCTCAATTAACTTTAGGGTTAGGGTCATCTTA